AAGAGCTTTACAATATTAAGAGCTTTACAATATTAAGAGCTTTACAAGCTGATGTTAGTAATTAATTAGATGGTTAGTAGCTTTTGTAACGGCCTTGCATTAGGCTGTATGCATTTGACGTGCTAACATGCTAGCGCTTGTAATTAGTTTTAAAACCGAGTTGTCTTGAAAAGAGAGGCGGGTGTTGCTCCTCTAAGATGAGCCATGGACTTGTCCACCAGATGAAATGTCTTCTACAGATGAACATAAAAGTTTAGGGGTTCTCCTGTTGGATGCCACGCAACAACCAAAAGACCACTGTGTCCTCCTGCCCTACAGGTTGAAGAGGGGGTGCTGCTCAGCACTTTGTGTGACTGAAGAGAGGGAAGCCAACACAAACTTCTGCTTGTATCAGGCATCGTGTTAACACGTATTAAACCATAGTGATGGTAGGAGAGGAAAAATCAGTGGTTCTGACACAGTAACTTCCTTATCACTGTGGTGCACCATGCCTGTTCATGAGATGTTTACAGATGTTTCTCCAGTGTTGGTCAGTTTGACAATGTAGCTACAAACTAACCCACAATTTGCTTTGGAGATTTTATAGAATTTTCTAAAGTTAAATGGAAAACAAAACAGCTGTGTGTGTTTTTAGACTGTTGTATAGCTGTTTGACAAAGAGCCTACATATATGAAGACTCACCCTTTTCTCATCTGTGACGATGTAGTTACGTCCATGTTTCTTGGTCAGATGTGGTGACAGGACATCGAAACGCCGCCGGAACTCAGAAAACACCATGTGGTCCGGGTAACCTGGAGGCAGAAACAGCAACCACGCGTCACCTCGAGTTCGCAGCCACAAACTTGTACACTTCAAGCAGTTGGAGGTTTCTTCTACATAAACGTGTTAAAACGGCTTTAGACTAGAACCACAAACGTTAAAAATAATTAGATAAAACCAGCAGCTGATCACAGGTTATTAAAAACGATCAGACTTTTGCCCATTAACTGGTTAATTCTAACTTGTAGAAGTTCATTCAAGCTTTATTTCTACAGGTTAGTCTCATTCTCATATATATCTCAAACCTTTCCCACTCATTAACCTGTTCCTGTATTGCAGAGTACTACATTCAGATGTGTTGACGAAGGAGTTAATGACTTCTTCCTCACCTTGTCTGTAGATGCGCAGAGCATCTAGAAGCTTTGCTCCTCGAAGCTGAGCTCTCAGGAGGTGCAGGTCCAGAGTCATGAGACCCGAGTCAAGACTCTCCCCATGCGCTACACGGAGCTCAGCTCCTCCAACTGCCTCTGCTTTAGGCAACAGGCAGTGGACGAAGTGAACTTTGGACCGACGCACCATGTCAATCAAAGCATCCTAAAAACAGAAAAGATCATAAAAACAAGCGCCTTCATCATCAGAGATCATAAAACACTTGAAACTGAATTTAAAAAGCTTCAAACCACAACAAGTTTTCAGCTCCTGTAGACAAAGCATGGACGGGAACAAGGTGACTTCTACAGTTCATCAATGGATCGAGCTCTTCCTGATATTTTATAGTTATTTACATCCTGAAAGTCTTCACAGCTCTTCACTGTTTCCACTTGTTGTTGTGTTACAGCTTTAATTGTATCAAATTAAATTCTACACACAATACCCCATTATGACTATGTGGAAAAATACTTTGAGGTTTTTGAAGTTTATTAAAAATAGAAAACTAAGAAATCACATTTAGGTAAGTATTGGATGGATGCATGGATGGACTACATCCATCCATGCATCCATCCAACATCTTTACCCGTTTCTTCCTTTTCAGATCATGGGGGTCACTGGTGCCCATGTCCAGCAGTCACTGCGTGAGAAGAGGGGGGCACATGGACTGGTCTCCAGTCTATCACAGGGACACCTGGACTGGTCTCCAGTCCATCACAGGGACACATGAACTGGTCTCCAGTCTATCACAGGGACACATGAACTGGTCTCCAGTCTATCACAGGGACACCTGGACTGGTCTCCAGTCTATCACAGGAACACATGAACTGGTCTCCAGTCCATCACAGGGACACATGGACTGGTCTCCAGTCTATCACAGGGACACCTGGACTGGTCTCCAGTCTATCACAGGGACACATGAACTGGTCTCCAGTCCATCACAGGGACACATGAACTGGTCTCCAGTCTATCACAGGGACACCTGGACTGGTCTCCAGTCCATCACAGGGACCCATAGAGACAAATGAGACAAACAACCACTCTCTCTCTCACCTAGGGACATTTTAGAGTTAATCAGACTAACATGCACGTTTCTGTTCTGTGGGAGGAAACAGGAGTACCTGGAGAAAACTCACGCAGCACAGAGAGAACCTACAAACTCCACCCAGAAAGGCCCCTGACTGGGATTTGATCCGGCGACCTTCTTGCTGAGGGACGGCAGCTCTACCAACTACGCCACCGTGCCGCCCCACTGGACTAGCTCCAAGCGAGATTTGGTTGTCCGAGGTGTAAATATGTTGGACAACCAGGAACGGCTCATGTGGACTCCTGCAGAAAGCTGAACATCTGGTGTGGGCTCCTTACCACTTGGAGCTTGACTTGGATGCACAGACTCTTCTTCTTGACAGCTGCTACACCTGTGGTGAAGGTCTTCCTCATACTGGTGGCTCGTCGCAGGGCCAGCTGAGAGCTTCCCTCCAGACCAGCAATGGAGCCCGACAACACCGTGGCCCCACTGGAGCGGCCCAAAAACAGACTTCGAATGTTCTTCCTGTGGTGACAAAAAGACGGTCGTCATTTTCATGGATGAACAGAAGAAACCAGAAACTAATAAGAACCCTGATGACTATTCACATTCTTCTTCTGTATCTTTTATGATTTTCCATTCACCTCTTTCTCCAGCAACTTCAGAAAAATGTACAGCTCGATCAGAAACATCACATCGACTTTTGTTGGCTTTACTTCAAACTGCAGAAATAAACGAGGTACAAAGAACTTGCCCTACACAACAACTGGGTTTGGGTCAGATACAGGACAAAACTCAGCTAAACTGTGCTGGATCATCAGTCATCAAAGCACAACAACAACAACAACAACAACAACACTTCTGTTCTGTAGCTGAAGAAAACTGGCTTCCGATCCAGTGGTCTCACAATAGAACTAAGGTGTGGTATCTGAGCTTTGGTCTCAAGAAGATGCTCCATCTGTGCAGCGCTCGCCTCTGCTCCAGTCTAAACAGACTCAACCCAAATCTGAAACTGACAACAAACATCTGGTTCTGTTTATCTGTTTGTAATGGAGAGAACAGACAAACACGTGTCAATCACAAGTGATCCAATACTGAAGAGCAGCTAAAAAAAGAGTTTCTGCTCCAAACAAAGCTGTTTGAAGCTGGGTGGTAATCCCACATTTGTTTTTTAAATCCAAAAGAAAAACATCCAGTCCAGATGTAAC